ACCTCCAGCTCAGCCTCCTGAAACTGTGTTGAGTAATTCCACAGAAAGTGTCTGAAAGGTCCGTTCACCCCTTTTATGAATGATGATCTTAGTTAGCTGCCTTGAACTGGGGTAAGCGTCTTCAAGTGATTGCTGTTTATTGTGAGAACAATACCAATGTATGCTCATCTTACAGTGTCTAAGTCTGGAAACCATCACCTTTGGAAAATTTCAGGAAGATAAATGTATGCGCGTTGCTTGGTTAAATGAGAAAAGTGGTTTTGTATGCTCGAACTTAGGAGTAAAGTGTTCCCCTAGCAACACTTTCTGCTTCTTCTGCTGTTGCCCCCTCAGTACTGGGGCAGCAGGCTCCCAGGTAACAGTAAGCACCACCCCTGCACAGTGTACTGAAGAAGACCTCAGAGGGGGCTAAAGAGAGGGCTCAGTTAGCAAAGTGTTTATGAACCTGAGTCCATGCGGAAAAACGCAAAGTGATGTGTGGTGGCGTGTGCTTGTAATCCTAGTGCTAGGAGCAAAGCAAGGGGCCCCTGGGCTTCCCGGCCAACCAATACAGCCCACATGGACTTTCCAGGCTGGTGAGAGACGCTGTCACCAAACACAAGGTAGATGGCACCTGAGGAATAATAATGGAAGTTGTCCTTTGGCATACACGCACATGAATGTGTACCTGCAAGCACATGTACACACCTATACACAGAAACTAACACACATACACACACATATTCATTCTCACATATACACATGCACATGCTCAGACACACAGATGCGCGCGCGTGCACGCGCGCACACACACACTCATATTCACACACACTCACACACACACATGATAGAAGAGAGAGCTCAGGGGGACCAATGAATGTGTCTGGTTCTCCACTCTATCCTGCCTCTGCACTAGGCTCAGTGCTTGATGTCCTGGTTCTGAAAGACGTTGACAGTGACTTCTTGTGTACTGTATCTTTCAGAGTTGCCCAAGGACTAGATTAGTTGATACATGCCAGAGAATTCTGTAGATGCCAAGCAGTCCATGCCACCCGATCTCCTGTAATTTCCCTGCAAGTCCTCTCGTCTTTTGGGAGGGAACAACATGTGAGGGGTTTTTCACATTTTCCCACCGTCTCTATGTGAAGCTTTGCCATTGAGTAGACACGTGTAAGCGTTCTCTTGTTGTTTTTTATTGTGCTAAGATAGGCATACCATAAACTTTATCATTTTAACCTCTTTGGGCGTGGGCTTCTATGGCCTGAACTATTATACGTTGTTGTGTAACCACCACCATCTGCTTCTTTTCATTTTCCAGACTCCGTCCCAGATAAACGGTCACTTCCTGTTCCCCTTTTCTCCAGCCCAGTCTACTTTCTATCTATGACCCTGAATGTTCCAGGGACCTCACAGGAGTGGAAGCACACAGAGCTACCTTTCCGTGTCTGGTGTCTTTCATCTAGCACATGTCTTCAAGGGTCATCTGTACTGGACTATGCGCCAGAGCCTCTTAAGGGATGACAATGTTCCATCTTATGTAAGGCATGTGTGTCTGGCCACTCACTGGCCACCCAATATATCTCATATACTGATTGGGCAGGGAACCACTCTGCCTCCCCAGAACTAGGATTATTTGTTCGTCTTTTTACCCATCACTTGATTTCTTCTTTAAATCTCTTGGCTGTTATGATTACGGAAAAAAAGTCATCTCTTTTCAAATCTCCCTTTCTCTCCCTGTCTGTCTGTCTGTCTGTCTCTCTCTCTCATTGTGTGTACATGTGTGTGTACATGTGTGTGTGTGTGTGTGTGTGTGTGTGCAGGTTTACAAATACTGTACCTATTGTATGTGTGGACATGTGTAGAGTATATGTCTCTGTGTGCATGTGTGGTGTGCACACTTGCCTGTGGAGGCTAGAAGCTGACATCAGTTGTCCTTTGGGTCTGCTGTCTAGCTTATTGATGGAGACAGAGTCTCTCCCTGAACTCAGAGCTCACAGACTGGCTAGGCTGCCTGGCCAACCTCTCCAGGAATCCATCCACCTGTCTCCCTGCCCTCTGCACTAGGGTTACAGCTGTATGTGACTATGTCCAGCTTTTAAACGGGTGCTGGAGATCTGACCTCTTTTCCTTTGAGTCTGTACCTGGGGGTATAAAATGTAGGCTGCCTTTTATTCAGAGAAGGTGGGGCTATGTCCCGGCTTTATGATTTCATCTCAGCGACTATTTCTGGGGCTTTCTCATATGTCCTGAACCTGTTCCATGTCCATCTCTAGGTACCTCATGCGTGGCCCATGTTGTCAAGCCTAAGCTGCTTAGTTTGTGAAACATTTTCTGTACGTGGACCCCATGGTTCTGCCCCCACACGGACCTAAGATAGATTGTTCTACCCACAGGAACAACGGCAGAGAACGCTCTGCTGCCGGAGCGCCACCCCTCTCTCAGTCCTCTCCCTAACCTTCCAACTCGAGCTGTAATCTCACTTTCTCACCATTTCCCAGGAAGAAAATGACTCACAGAGGTAAACAGTGTTTTCCCTTGTGGGAGCCTCAAACCTGCAGGTGAGGGTCCCCTTTTAAGCAGACTGTCTCCTCTGCAGTGGCCATGGTCTCTTCTTGTCTGTAGAGATTTCCTGGTGGACATAAAAGAGCCAGGGTATGTGCAGAGCAGGGTAGTGGCCAGTGAGAGGGGAGAGGCCTGAGGGTAGTTATTGACCCACGCCTAGCAGGTGCTTGTGCACTGAAGGGATTCTCTGTTCTGGAGAAAGGACTTGGCAGATTGGAAAGATGCCCGGAGTGGGGGAACCAATAAAACCCACTGGGTTAGCAGCATTGAGAACTGTTTTATATAGTCTAAAGAATGATCTATGGTAGCCCTGCTTTTGATTTTTAATGAGTTTCTTATCTATACAGCAGGTGAAAGTAAAGGAATAAGCAGTAAGTAGCAGATGGGTAGGAGCAGAGGATTGATAGCAAACCATCTTCCAACAGGGCGTTCAAAACACAGACAAAACCCTATCACGGGTGACTAGAGCGGCCCGTTGGAGAGAGTAAAGAAAAGATAACATTAAATCATGGGCTGATAAACACCCTGCGGAAACCGACCAGGGGAAGTCCTGTTAGAATTAGCTGAAATTCCTATAGGGTTTCCCTTTGGGTGAGGCTTCTTAAGTAAAAGAACAAATGGTGCAGAAAGGTGACATCATCTAGTTGGGCGCTTGCAGTTCTGCAGCAGGAGTGACTGGGGAAGCCCTGCTGTAACAGTCATGACTAAGTTCCAGGCAGAGCTGAGCTTTCTTTCTACAGACGAGTTTCCGTTTTCTCACCATGGGGTAAACAGTAGCAACCTCCTTGGGAGGAGTTCACCTTCTGGCTGTTCTCAAAGGTTCCGTGCTTTTACTCTTGGGCTATCTTGTTGTTATCTTTCCTCCCTGTCACAGTTGTGGGGGGGTCGGGCTGACCCAGGCAGAGGGGTCTGGAGGACCCTTGAAAACAAACATGCTAGAGTCTAGGATGAGAAAGTTCTCCTTACTCCCAGAGTTCACTTTGAACATGTTCAAACAGCATATGACAATTTCATGGTATAAGTGCATTACAGGGAACTGAGTGGAAGACAAAAATAAATGAGCAGACTCTGGTGTGGAATTACCCCTGTGTGGGAGGCCTGGTCTTCCCCAATGAGATTTCTTATTCTCAAGCAGTGTTTCCATGTTGGAGGAGGGATCTGGTGTCTGAGTACTCAGGTCTTCCTCACCCTCATTGGGTAAATCTATCCTTGGACTGGAAGTGATGAGAAGCACATGCCATGGGCTTGAGCATGTTCTGATCTGGTTTTCTTGGGTTCATCCCTTTGATAGCGAACAAATATCACAGGGACTGTCTGCCTCCATAGATTAGTCTGTGAAAACTCTCTTGTGAGGCTGTAAGTATTTATATTTAATGATGATTATTTTAAGTGACTCAAGAATCTGCAGGATATAGCCTTCTGAGTAAATAATTCTACTTATGAATTCTTTATAGATTTGGGCAGAAGGTTCTTGCTGGAATTTCCCATTTGACTGTTTCATTGAATGATTATCTTCTGCCCTGAATAATTAGATTCAGGTCATGAAAATGGACACTCTTGCTTGAGAGTTCATGTTCTAGTTGGAACATTATCCCAAAGACTCATAGTCCACTGTACCAAGCAGATGTGAATCCTGTCCCCCCCTTTTTTTCTGTGTATGCTTAAGAATATCTTTGCTGGTGGCTAAAGGATGCAGGGTCTGTTTCTAAGCTTGGCCTGTGCAGCCTGACCATGCCATCACTGGGGAGAGATGGGCTCTTTGGTTCCACACATCCTGGTTACAGTGTGTTTCTCTCTTGTCAAAGACTTGGATTTATGTTTTCAGATGGGCTAATCATCCTCACTGGATGGTCCTTGTTTGTTTGGCTTGAAAAGGAAATAAGCTGCTGAATGAAAGATTGTCTATCCCTACCAATGAGTTAACCCAAGTGCCAGTCCCTCCTGCAGCGCCAGCTCACACTGTAATTACATCCTTGTCTATCTGTGAGAATTAATTCAGTGTTTGTGAGGCAATCTGGAAAAGTCTGTAGGTGAGAGGGCCTCTATGGACTTGGAGAATTTTAGTCTCTATAACTTTCTGGTCTACATGGTCATGCTATGGTTACCACTTTTTCTCTGTGGGGGAGTGTCTTCAGGGAATGTTCTTGTTGTCCACCAAGGGGCCCTAACCTAACCATGCTGTGTAGCAGGGTGACCAGAGGCTCTTTCAAGTGGTCAACCCATGACAGCTTTCACTGCTCCTTTGGTTCTGTGTTGACAGCCACCGTCTCTTTGCACTGAGATACAGTTATCCACATGACCTTCTTCCTCTAAGGGCATTTGGGAAGGAGCCCTGCTGGACACCATATAACAGTAATGCTTGTGGTCATGCTCCTTGTTACTGTCCTGAGATCAGAGAGGCCATTCTGTAACCAAAACCTCTCACCATAACCCTTCTTTTTCTCCTTTTTTGTTCACAGTGGGGCCTTTTCTGAAGTGGTTTTAGCTGAAGAAAAAGCAACTGGGAAACTCTTCGCAGTGAAGTGCATCCCAAAGAAGGCGCTGAAGGGCAAAGAGAGCAGCATCGAGAACGAGATTGCTGTTCTTAGAAAGTAAGTACTGGAGAGAAGCCTCTCCTCCGTCTTGTCTGAGCATCCTCTGGAGTAGGGTAAGGCCTGGCACTAGGCTGGCTTCACAGGCGTGGGAGAATCCACCAGTTCCTAGCCTGCAGAAAGGGATGGACCCGGCAGTTGATGGATACTCATGCAGTGCTCTGAAAATGCTTTCCTATAGCTCCAGTGTCTTGCAATGTTGTAGTCAAAGACGGAGTTCTTTCCAAAGGGCACAGTTGCAGGCTGACTTGATTTTGAACTCAAACCCCTCCCTTCATCACAGCTGAGTGACCCTGGTTGGTTTCAGCAGCCCAGCCTCCCTTATAAAGAAGAACTCAGATCATTTCCATAGTATGGCATGCTGAGAATTACAATTATTTTTGCCATTGGTATTGCTTTATTTTTTTTATATGGATGTGAAGCTGGCAAGCCCTTGTCCAACCCTGTAATATATAGTTTATATGCGACATAGCTTGGAATATCAATCCCTCCTGTGCTGTTTCTACACTTTGTGGTTCCCCATCCCCTTTCTCTGCCACTCACACAGCATGGGCATCCCAGAGTTTCCAAAGAGCTTCACTTCTTCATTGAATCTTTCCCTTTTCCACGTATAGTAAAAGCAAATGAAAATCTCATCCCCTTCAGTACAGTGCTATACACAAGCATTCTGATGTCATCTGACCCTTCCCCCATGGATGGTCTTCTGAGGTTGGTCCTCACCACACTCCCTGTACTTTAACAGGGATTAAATCCTTTCAACATGTCTCATGAAGTTTGAAGGAACAGACCTTATATGGTACCTGCTTCTGTACCTTTGGCATCTATCTGGAAATTTTTGAGTTGGTATTAATAAAAGATGTTCAGAATAGCCTTGAAATTTTTGGGGTTTGGAATCAGTACATAGCAAGAAATCCAGTACAGATAAACAAGTGGAATGGGAACAAACCTTATCTAGGGACCGAAAGAAACCACCACCCACCGTCTTTCCTTCCTGCATAATCTTTCACTTCATTCCTTCTGGGGCCTTCAGTGACCCACAGGACAGTGCTTTTGTCACTGTCTGTCTAGCCCAGCACTGCTAAGGTGGTCGGGACAGTCTGTCCCGTCCTGACCTTTGGACAGCTCAGAGAAGAACACAGACTTGATATCAGTGTTCCAGAACAAATGGGTCTCCACGGTTTTTAGCGTGAGGATTTCTATGTTGGTTTTTAAGTTCTCTGGGCTGTCTGTTGGAATTAGAGAGTTTTAGCTGTCCTGAGGAGGATTGCAGGAAATGGTTCTGTAGAAGAGAGTCCGGGAAAACAAAATATTTGTATCAGATAGGAAAACACTATGTTGATGAAACATGTATTGAAGTGTCCTATTTATCCATCTGAAATCAGCGTTTGAAGAAGTTCGTCACTGGGGACATGAAATTATAGATGTGTTACAGAGATCTGGCATTTCAGATGGGATTCTCTTTCTAAAGGTTCCACTTTGGGCCCAGGGGTTGTCTGGGCTTAGAAATAAAAGAGCTTGGGAAGTCTATATGTAGTGTTGGAGTTATTTTCCATCCATAAAGGCATTGGATACAAGTACAGGCTTTATAATCTTGTCTTGGTTCATGCTGCGAATATTTTGGTTTAATCAGGATCCCCACCCAATGCCTCACTAGTAATCACATCTTCAGACAGGGTATTTAAAACAGGGGAGGATCATGGATTTGGAATGACTTGTTTTGATAGTTTCTCACTATCAGTTGTTGGGATGCCTAGAGGCACGGACTCTTCTCTAGGGAGTAGAGAACAAAGGAATGATTTCTCAGGAGATAAAGGTGGCTTATCTCCTATGTTAGATTACTCTGTTGATCTTTTGCAAATGATTTACAAGTAGGCTAGGAAGAATACCACATCATAAACAGCTGAAAGAAAAGCACATGAACTGTAAAGAAAATAGTTTGACACAGCGTTTAGAAGGCTACCATGGTGACATTCATTTGTTGAAGAAGTATTTATCAAGTTCCCAGCATGCACCATATCTTAGGATTTCCATTGCCATGATGAAACACTGGAACAAAATCAAACTGAAGAGGAAAAGGTTTATTTGGCTTACACTTCCAAATTGTAGTCCATCATTGAAGGAAGCCAGGATAGGAACTCAGACATGACAGGAACCTGGAGGCAGGAGCTGATGCAGAGACCATGGAGGGGTGCTGCTTACTGCCTTGCTTTCCATGGCTTGCTCAGCCTGCTTTTTTTTTTTTTAACTCAGGACCACCAACCCAGGGGTGGCACTACCCACAATGGGTTGAGCCCACCCCCATCAATTACTAATTAAGAAAATGCCCTATTAATTGGACAGTGGTGGCACACATCTTTAATCCCAGCACTTGGGAGGAAGATGCAGGCGGATCTCTGTGAGTTCTGAGCCAGACTGGTCTACAAGAGCTAGTTCCAGGACAGGCTCCAAAGCTACAGAGAAACCCTGTTTTGAAAAACCAAAAGAAAAAAAGAAAAGAAAAGAAAAAGAAAATGCCATATAGCCAGATATTGTGGAGGCATTTTTGCGATTGAGATTTCTTTCTTTTGGCTAACCCTAGCTTGTGACAAGTTGGCGTAAAACTAGCCAACACACACCAGGAAGCAGCACTACTGAACGTGGAGTTCTTGACACCTGTTGGAGGAGGCTGCTTGTTTATTTCCTGAATGCCCGGAACTGAAATAGTCACACAGAAAATGTATTAATTAAATCACTGCTTGGCCCATTAGCTAGCTCTAGCTTCTTATTGACTAACTCATACATCTTAATTTAACTCATTTATAGTAATCTGTGTATCGCCACATGGCTGTGGCTTACTAGGTAAAGTTCTGTCTGGCATCTGTCTGGTGGGGGCTACATGGCTTCTCTCTAACTCTGCCCTTCTTTCTCCCAGCATTCAGTTTAGTTTTCCCCACCTATCTTTAGTTCCTGCGCAGGCCCAAAACAGTTTTTTAACCAATGGTGTTCACAGCATGCAGAGGGGAATCCTACATCAGACACCTGAGATCTAGATTTTGCTACTCACCAACAAGATAAAGTTATAGCTGATTTGAAGACAACATGCCCAGGGGACCTAGGGATGGGTCTGAGGAAAAGTTGCATGGAGGAGTGGCAGCCACATAAGTGCATTTTTCCAGGACATAAAGGCATTTCCAGCAAGATAGGCATTCCATTCAGAAGGAACAACTAAACAGAAGCTAGGAGACAAGGGCTGGGTATGTAGTCCAGTGGTAGGTTGCTGGGCAAGGTTCTGAGTTTAATTCCCAGCACTACAAAAAGAAACAAAGAAGAGTTGAGTTGTCGGGGGGGGGGGTAAGAAGAAGTTAGGAAATAGGGAGCCAGGCTGTTATTCTGGGGAGCTGGCTCCTTTGATGAGGGCAGAGGGTTTGAGGTGAGGCAAAAGGAGCCCTAAGTTTGGAGGAAGATGGGATGGTGGGACATGCTCTAAACTTGGCTTTGGATCTTGGGCTCCAGGCAATAGATATGAGGAGTGACCAGGTTATCATGAGAGAAGCTAAATGGTGAGGATTTATCATGAAGTGTCCTGTGGCAGAATGTGGAAGGGCTGATCCGAGGGAGCAGGAGCATGGAGTGAGAACACTTCAGAGGGCATGAGGCGGGTCATGTAGAGAAATGAAGGAGTGTGTTAAAACATGGGCTGTGGGCTGGATGGGAGAGATGGATATGAGGATATAGCTGGATATCTAATACAGAGCTGACTCTAAGATGTCGAGATTGGCAGATGCTATGGAACAATGGTTTGTACCCTGTCAATTGTATTTTAATAAAACGCGAATTGGCCGGTAGCCATGCAGGAAGTATAGGTGGGACAACCAGGCAGGAAGTAGAGTCGGGTGATGAGAACAGGAGAATTCTGGGAAGGAGAAAGCTTATTGTGCAGTCGTGACCCAGTCACAGAAGAAGCAAGATGTGACTGCCTCACCGAATAAGGTACCAAGCCATGTGGCTAACATAGAAAAGAATAATGGGCTAATATAAGTTATAAGAGTTAATAAGAAGCCTGAGCTAATGGGCCAATTGGTATATAACTAATGTAGACCTCTGTGCATTTCTTTGGGGCTAAACGGTTCTTGGACCTGGTAGGACAGAAAACCTCAGACATTGTTTAATTCCCAGCATTCACATGGTGGCTCACAGTCCTCTGTAACTACAGTTCCAAGAGGATCCTCTGCCCTCTTATGGTCTCTGCAGGTACTAGATAGGCACGTGGTATGCGTACATACATGCAGGTAGAATTATACCTGTAAAATAAAGCCATGAAACTTTTACATATTGGATAATCAATTATTGTGCTCTTCCTGGGGAAGACTAGTTCTCTCAGCTCTCAGCATTCCTAAGCTGCCAGTGGTTCTCTGTAGGGCTGCAGTCTCCTGGGCTTCTCCTGCCCCCATTAGGAGGTCTGTTGTTGCCCTGGTTCAGCTCGTGTTTAGACAATTATGTTGGTGCGACTTTATGGGTATAGCTTGTGATGTTTCTAGGAGATACACTCTCACAGCCAGCTCCCTGTTCCTCTGGTTCCTATAACCTTTGCACCCCCTCTTCTGCAATGTTTCCCAAGCCTTTAGGTGCCAGAGTTGTTTTGTGACCCATTGGGGCTAGGCTCCACAACTCTGCATTTTGATTGTTTATGGTTTTCTATGATGGTCTCTGTCTGTTGCAGAGAGAAGTTTCCTTGACGAGGAGCAGGGACTTCGTTTATCTGTGGGTATAAGGACAAATATTTAGACTGGAGTTAGGGATGCTGCTGGTTTAGAAAAGTGGTGGTGGTAGGCTCTCCGTCCAGATCCATGAGTTCTCTAGCTGGGTAGTTGGCTAGGTTTCTGGTATCACACATCATTTCCTTCTTGTTCGAGTGGGCTTTAAGTCTGTTTACAGAACTGTTGGTCTCCACCAAGGTATGCATGCCACCGTTATACCCTGAGGTTATTGTGCCATATTGACGGTTGTGATTCACAGGTTTC